AGTCCATGAAGCTGCCAATGACGTCCACGATGAGAAGTCCGGAATGCCGTCGAGGAAGAGCCGCAGTGTCGACGAGCTGAAGTAGCAAAACTGATTTGGATGGAGTACTGAGAAGTCAAAGACGTGGGAAGGTAAGTCAGAGTCAATCGTCGTATCGAGCAGGACGACGACGAGTGCGCTGTGGACGCTCAGAAGCATTCGGCTGCTGCTGAAGGTCTGCCTCAGATGGAGCAGGCTCGACTTCAGCGGTCACCTCAGCCGGAGGAGGAGGGTCAGTGGGCTGAGGAGGAGCAGTGAACCCAGCACGACGAGCACGGTCATAGGCACGCACCAAGACGTGAGCGTGCTGCAAATGCTCGAGGGGCTCACAGGTAGCCTCCTCATCAGGGTAACCCTTCCAACGTACGAGATACTCGACGTGGGAAGGGTTGTCGTCGGTGACTCGGCGACCAATGATATTTGAAACGAGGAACTCCTCGTGACCGTCCACCATGATGGGTGGAGGGCGCTCGTATGGTCGTCCAGCGAAACGCTCAGACGGTCTGCGGTAAGGACGCAGTAACGAGACGTGGCAGACATCGTGCACACGAGCCTGGCGTAGGTAGTCGGGCAGCTTCACACGGAAGCTGACTGGGCTAGATACCGCATCAAAACCGACGGCCTGGAGGATGCGGCATGGGCCAAAGAAGCGACGCCGAAACTTGCGAAGCGTGTCCGCTTCGAGCTGTAAGTGGCGGGCATCGATAAGCACATCATCACCGACTTTGAATGGATGATCCATCCTCGATCGGTTTGCACGTGCTGCCATGCGAGTCTGGGAAGTGGCTACGTGCTCATGTGCGGTCTTCATGATCGACGTCATGTGTGCAACCCAATCGTCCAGCGCGGGACAACTCGTGTCGGGGTGCAGCTGGGACGGTCGAAGGAAGTCCGCGGGAACACGAGGGTGATAGCCGAGGTCGCAATAGTAAGGCGACATCCCCATGGCGGGCTAGACGGCGTGGTTGTAGGCTATCTCCGCGTGGGCAAGATGAAGATCCCACTGCTGGTCGTCACGAACAATCTTTCGAAGAATATCTCCGAGAGTCCTGTTCGTGATCTCGGTCTGACCATCAGTCTGAGGATGGTAAGACGAGGAGAAGCGGAGCTGAGTGTCGTATACCTCGTGGAGCCGTCGCCAGAATCGGCTGGTAAAGCGCGGGTCACGGTCAGATATTATGCTCAGAGGTAAGCCGTGGTCACGCACGACTCGGTCAAACACGATGTCGGCGACCTCACGTGCACTGATGGCATAGCGGCACGGAACAAAGCGTGCACGCTTCGTGAAGCGCTCGACGACGACCAGGATAGCATCATGACCGCGAGGGGTCCGAGGACGAAGAGGACCGATAAAGTCCATCGAGATGGACTGCCAACGACCCTCAGGGATAGGAAGAGGGTGGAGCAAACCATAAGGCAGGTGGTGCGCACTGTTCACCTCCTGACAGGTGGGACACTCTGCGACGTAGTCCTTCACAAAGTCCTTGCGCTTCGGCCAGACGTACAGGCGGCTCACACGAGCCAACGTCTTGTGGAAGCCCATATGGCCGGCAGCTGCCTGGTCATGGAACTCTGCTACTGCTCGGACACGTAGCTGTCCAGTGGAGGGAACGCAAATACGGGGCTCTCTGGTGCCCTGTGAACCGTGCCAGTACACAAGACCGTTGTCCCCGAGAGAGTAGTTCGGGACGGTCTTGCCACTCCGAAGGGTCGCGTGGATGTCGCGATAGTCGGGGTAGTGGCAGTACTGAGTGCGTAACTCGTCGATCACCAAGTGGTGGATGGTGGTGATCGAGATGGAAGAGAGTTGGATGTGCTCCTGGTCGTGGACAGGGCGCCGGGATAGGGCATCTTCGACCCGATTAGTCTCACCCTTGATGTGCTCAGTGGTGAAACTAAACTTGGAAAGGTCGTGCCACCAGCGAGCCTGTCGAGGAGTGAGCTTCGGCTTTGTCAGAAAAGCCTGGACGTGCGCACCGTGAATGGTGCCCCGTGCAGGTAGTGCCGCCAGTGCCGAGCGGCATAAACTACTGCGAGAACCTCACGTTCATCAGCAGTGTAGTTTATCTCGTCGGGCAGGAGCTGACGGGAGTAGAAGGCTATCGGACAATCACCTGAGCGAGTCTCGACAGTGCCGTCCTCGGCGATGGTAGGAGAATAGTCAATAGAAGGCTCGTCAGTAGCTGGACGAGTAGGCTTCAGTCGGGAAGCAATGGTAGGGGTAGGTGGTGGGAAGCGAGGGATACGAGGATGAGAGGAATCAGGAGAGGAGGGAAGACCTGAGAAAGCACTGCTCCTACAGCGAAGTCTGACGCATCGGTGGTAAGGATAAAAGGGCGGTCAAAATCGGGTAGGTGAAGAACCGGTGCGCATGTCACCGCCTTCTTGAGGGCTTGGAAGGCGTCCTCGTGGAGGGGTGTCCAAGCCCAAGGTGGGTTCTTCCGGAGGAGGGTGGAGGTAAGGACGTAGGAATACCTAGCGTATCCCCGGATGAAGTTACTGTAGTAGCTGGTCAGGCCTAAGAAGCTGCGAAGCTGCTTGGCGGATGTGGGAGCGGGCCACTCCGCAATAGCAGTGATCTTCGCGTCGTCCATGTGGAGACGCTGGTCAGACACGTAGTGTCCTAAGAAATCCACTTTGTGCTGGGCAAAGCGGCACTTGCTCAGCTTGGCGTAGAAGCCATGTCTGCGCAAGCGGTTAAGGACGTCGCGGAGATGTCTGAGGTGCTCCTCAAGGGTACGACTGTAGACCAGGATATCGTCGAGGTAGACGAGAACGTACTGCTCTAGGATGTCCCTGAAGATGTCGTTTTCATCGCCCTCCGAAAGGTTGCGGGAGCATTAGTGAGGCCGAATGGCATCACTTTGAACTCGTAGTGGCCGAATCGCGATCGGAACTCGGTCTTCGGCTGGTCGGCTGCAGCGACGTGGATCTGATGGTAACTGCTACGAAGATCAATCTCCGTAAAGAAGCGGTTGCCTGCTAGGCGGTCGAAAAACTCATCGGAACGAGGCATGGGGTAGCTGTTCTTAACCGTGTAGCGGTTGAGACCTCGATAGTCGATGCAGAGACGGAGAGTTCCATCCGCTTTGCGAGCAAAGAGGACGGGTGCACCCCACGGGGAGTTGCTGTTTAATGAAACCCATTCTCAGGAGCTCCTCAAGCTGACGCTCGAGTTTGGTGGCCTCGGGGATCGAGAGTCTATAGGGTGCCTGGTGGTGAACACGATAGTCAGGCACAAGCTGAATGGAGTGCTCGACGTCACACATCGGTGGGATGCTGGCGTACGAGAACAACGATGGGAAAACGTCTTGGTACTCCCGGATGAGGTCACGAATTGCGGGCTCCAGGTCAACCGTATATCGTGCGAGTTCCTCAGCGTCAGCGTCAGTACGCGACGGCGCGGTGGACACGACGGACGGCGGAGGGACGGAAGTAGAGATGGGAGCCATGGAGATAGAGGGAGGATCTGGCTCCAGAGGGATGAGCTCGGCGTCGGGACAGGGTGGATCATAGTGTAAGAGATCCGTCACGTCCACCATAAAGAAGGTGACGTCGTCCTGTCGAATGAAGTGAGCGAACTGCCGAGGCGAGGTGACAGTGATAGAGGGAGATGGTGTGGGCACTGAAGGCTCCGGGGGAGGAGGATCGGGGCGTGGTGTCGCCGTGGTACCTATGAAAGGTTCGCGATACGTCTGTCCACACTTCGTTTTGAGAACGAGAGTGTTGGTCGCCCAATCGGCGGCCTTGGTGCTGCGGAACTGACGAGACCACGGAGTGCCGAGAATGACGTCGTACCCCGTCTCCATCACATCGAAATGTGYAGAGGAGCGGTGGCGACGAGACGTCGGGGAACGATCAATCGGCTCGAGAGTGAGGAAGAAGGGGAGGTCAGTGACCGTCTGATCGAAGAAGCGTTGGGTCTTGTCATCCCCTAGGGTAATGAAGATGGGATTCGGAGACCCTGTCGTGGGTAAGCGGGCTTCCTTCACCACGCGTGGGTGAATGAAGTCGCCCTGAGAACCGGAATCCCACAGCGCTGAGTACACCCTCGTGGAGGTCCCGAGTCGTACTGGGATGATCAGGAGGGTGCGATCAGGGTCAGAGAGGATGGCGAGAAGGCGACGCAGTGCAGCGACATGGAGGGTGAGTCGCTCCTGACGAGCCTGGAGCATGCTCAAGTCCAGAAGAGAGGACACAACGTCCTCGCGAGTAGCAAGCTGCTCGGTGCAACGAGCTGAGCGAATGGCTCGACGCGTCGGTAGTCACAGCGGGGAAGGAGGGGAAACGGTGGTCTGCGGAGGCGCAGACGGTACTGCGACAGAGGGCTGAGTACACTCTGTCGAGTCCTGCGATACCTCGACTCCAGTAGCGAGAGGGGCGAACCGCGACGGAGATGTCGGGAAGCCCACTACTGAGGAGGGCGCAGATGTACACTGCACCGTGGCTAGGAGGCGTCGCGGGGACGTGAGGCGCCGGGGGGGGATTGAGCACGACGCTGACGAGAAAGGTCAGCGTAGTGGCGGTCGAGGGCGGTAGTGTAAGGGCACCGTGAGGAGGTATGACCGCCCAAGCGGCAGCGCAGACACCCACGTCGGCCAAGAATAGCCGCGCGCTCCTCAGCGGAAAGGACACCGCGAGGAGGGACGAAGCCCTGAGGGAGGTCCTCCTGAGGGACCTCGGGAGGCGACGCGCCAGCGTGACTGGGGCGGCTGCGTGCCCGAGAGAGGGCGGAGAACGCGAGCTGAAGGCGCTCAGCTGCAGGGAGGGTAGAGTCCTCCAAGTGATAGTGGACGGCCTCGTAGAGATCGAGGTCGTCGCTGTGGTCGCCCTCAGGTGACAGTGGGGCAACAGCATCCTGCTCACCATACTGCAGCGCGCTGAAGCGGCGCGAGAAGTGGCGGCCCTGTTGCGTGGAACGGCGGGGGCGACCGCGGAAAGGGGAACGACGCTGGGATGTGCCGTGAGAGGAGGAGGAGGCGTACCCTTCGCTGGGGCTGGGAGGAGGAGGCGGGGTGAAGACGGGCTCGCATCCGCTGGTGGTCCCTGGCGGCCTCGTAAGCCTATGGGGCCGATGTGAACTCGTACCGCCATAGCTCGGAGCGGTTCTCGAGCGGAAGGCTGGCCAAGAAACGATCGATAAGGGCAGCCTCGGGGAGGAACGCCACGTTGCAAACGAGGCGAGCGTGTCGAAAGACCTGGATGTGGCGATCCAGGCCGGTAGCGCCACCAAAGCCGGACCAGCGTGTACTGGCGACACTCTCGAAGGCGTCAGTCACGTCGTGTCGGGCTCCGAAGCGATCCTCGAGGAACGCCTGGAAATCCACGAAGGTCGGAGTTCGACCCTCACGAAGGGAGTAGGCATAAAAATCCTCCCAGGCCTCAAACGGACCGCCACGCAGGCGCGTGGAGAGGTGACCCACCCACGTCTCGGGTGTGGCGCCCATGAGCTGGAGTGTGCGGGTGGCAGACTGCAGCCACCGAGACACGCGTATGCCTGTGCCGTCATACAAGGCAATGTACGACAAGCGGATGAGTAGTGCGCCACCGTTTTGGCGGTGAGGGGAACGAGGAGCGGAGGCTTGTACCACGGCTGAGTAAGTCGGCGCAGGTCCTGGAGAAAGGGGCGCAGCTGACTGTGCGCCCGGGCCGCATGGGGGAGCGGTGGTGGCAACAGCGGCAGGCTGCGAGGGTGCTGCGGGAGAAGAGGTCGCAGCAACCGCGGGAGTAGGAAGAAGGTAGGAAGGAGTTGTATAGGGTGCAGGGCGCGGAAAGCGAGCCTGCATGGGAGGAAGGGTAGAGGAGGTAGGGGGTGCGCCCGAAGGCGCGGCCACCTGTGAGGGTGGGGGTGGCTGAAGGCGTAAGAGGGCGAGGTCGGCTCGGAGCTGGGCAATCTCGTCCGCGAGACCTCGAACGTAGGTCGATCGAGGGGTGGCAGGAGGAAGAGTGGAGGGGGTGGACGCACAAGCGGCGCGGGGCATCCCAGAGGGGGGAGAGCCAGGTGGCTCTGCGGTCGTGCGAAGGGGAGGGAGAAGCGGGGCACCCGGAAAAGCTGAGACCATGGTAGCGGGTTGTTGTACCGTGGCCGTAGTGACCGGGATCTGGGCGGGTGCGCCCGTAGACTGAGGGGGGGCCTGGCTCGTGGCGGCCGTCGTGCTAGGGGCGTGGACAGGCACCAAGATGGTCGGGTCAGGGGCAACGGAGGAGGAAGCTCCGCCGTGGCCACCCTGTCGGAGGACGGGGGACCAGAACTGGGAGCTAGGAGATGACGGACATGCAGCGTCCTGCAGTTGCTGCATGCCGGCGGCAAGGGTCACCACCTGCGCCTGTAAGGGCACGAGGGTCGCGAGTGGCGCCTGGATGGGCGCAAGGGTCGCGAGTTGGGCCTGGATGGGCGCAAGGAGGGAGGTGAGGAGGGTGTGTAGATCCCCCTGGGGTTAATGGCCCTGGTCCGCCGGCACGGGTGTGGAGCCCGATGCCGTGGTCATTGCCGTGTCGGCGGCGTGTGACGCACCGTCGGCCATGGGGAGATGACGGACCGGACTGGAGGGGGCCAGAAGAGGTCCGCGTGAGCGGAGGGCATAGGGGGAAGTCCGCGGTAGAAAGCAGCGAACGGCGCTAGCAAGGCTAGCACGGGCGCCGTCAAAGGGGGAGGGGTGGTTCGGGTCCAG